GCTTTTCTTCAAAAAATCATCACTTTTATCATAAAAATATCGGATGTTCGTAATTAGAAAAATACGGGTATTCGGAACGATCATCGGAAAAAGAACGGATGCTCGTTAGATTTTTTCCGAACATCCGTTGAAGGACTAAAATGCCAATTCCGAACATCCGGTGTCAAATACGGATGTTCGGAATGATCGCGACGAAACGTCTGGCGGCCGACACATCGAACTAATGCGTCTAATGAGCAAAAATAGGTTACCGTGTCCCATTAACACATACAGACTTGTTTTTCTGTATGGCAACAATAAAATAAGCTTACAAGAGAGAGCAATAACTTTTATTCTATCGAGAAACGTCTAGTTGGCATAATACTGACAATATGGTTGGAGAAAAACATTTCTAATTTTCAGAAGATTAGGAAAGACTTTGAAACAGAACTTAAATAATAGAATCAGTAAAGAATAGTTCGCAGTCATATTAAGCAGTCAATGTATAAATTCAATATTTAAGAGTGTTCATTTTTCGAAGAACAAAAGATGATAATATGTCGCAACCTTATAGCAGTTAGAATTACAGATTGATAGGATTGCATGAAAATTTTCCACATAATTTCGTTGATTTGTGATGAGGTAGGAAACTGTTGATGAGAATTAAACCTTGCAAAGTTCATTAAAATTATTTTCTTTCAACATAATAGATAACAGACAGAGAGTCCATCACAGCTGTCAACGAAGATGGCGAGACTGTGTTACACGTTTGCATCAAACGAAGGGTCCAACAGAATATTTTTAACCTCATATGGAATCATCTAGATGGTAACGCGAAAAGGATACTTGTTATGGCTTCAGACATTGAAGGCAATTTGCCTCTTCATTTGATTGCTCGCTCGGACGATCTCATGTACATTTATGAACGCTTTGTTAACGATGACGATACTCTTGAAGTCATACCTAGAATGGTATCAGAAAAAAATCGTCGAGGTCGAACAGCTCTTCATGAAGCAAGCGAAACTGATTGCCTCAAAAGAATTAAATTTTTATGGGAAAATAGCACGATTTATTCCAAAAGTCTAGATAAACTGCCCTTAATTCTGGACGATAGTCTGTCAACATGTCTCCATATAGCTGCTGCTGCAGGTAAGATCCACAGAGTTATCTCGAGACAACTGTGTAGTTTCGTTTTTCGCAACTTTTAGGTAAATTTGAGGCAGTCGAATGGCTTTTCAAAGAGGCTCCGCATGATCTAAATCGAGTTGATATGAATAAACGTACTGCACTTCATTTGGCTTGTCAATACGGTCATAAGAAGATTGTCGAATATTTGCTCAAACAACGAGCATCGGTTACACTACGTGACTATCAACTGTACAATTGTCTCGAACTTGCCATAGTTAATCATCATCGAGATATTGTCGAGATTCTCCTTGCTCATGAATCGTGGCATGAAATGATGTGCAACGCTCAACCAATTGAAAGTACATATGCATACGATACATCTATGCGAAAATTAATTCGACACATGCCTTATGTTACTGTTGATCTATTGACTAAAAAATTGAAACGAACAGTTGGTGGAAAAGAGCAACAAGTGTTCAAGACAATCTACGATTATGAGTTCTTCGAAGATGAATTTAAAGTCAAAAAATGGCATCTTCAAGGTATTGAATGTTATATAAGATGAAAGTCTGCAAAGCTCCAGTAGGATTTCTTCATGAGGATAATCGAAAAGAGTTTTTTTCCACAACATTAAAAAACCTAGCAGTAGACTTGACTCTTTTCATATGAGAGAGAATTGAAATCCTTAAAAGATAAAGGTTTATAGCAAAACAGATTGATCCCCCACTAAATTTCTACTGAAAGCTATGTAGTTCTACATGCAATATCACAAAGAACCATTCGATACTATTGTCATGCTAAATAGATCGTATTTATGGTCATTTTAAGACATATCGAAAATCTCTTAAGACTATTTCATAAATATGCCACAATAGAGACGATATTTTATAGATATCTCATAAATACTTTGACGAATTGAGCCCATAAATTCACCATTGGAAAGACTATATCGAGTTATATCGAACTCTATAAGAATTATTAATTGCTTATGTAATAAGAAATCTACCTAGAATTACATTGCATTACCTGTACAAGACTGCTGTAGAAACCTAGTTGAAGTTTTCTTGTTCGTGCGGTTGCTATGTGCATACTTCAAGAAGTGTTTTTGCTTCATGAATTTCTTGCTCAAGAAAGGTAAGAAACTCATGTGCATAATAAAAAAAGTTCGTTTATGGAAGTCATCGACAATATAATAGGCTCTATTCAAGAAAATGTAGATAACTTGGAACAGCTTCCAATATGCATTACTCGACAGCTCTCGTAAAACTCTACACAAAATCAGTATTCCATTGTACTGAATTGCATGGGGAATTACTTAACATATGCAGACATTATTCATGAACATCACAGGATTGTTTTGTCACTCATATTTGACTCTTGGTAGTCGCAATAATTAAAGTTTTACTCCATCATATCTCATATTTAGAACAGGCAAAAAAACTAAATTGATCTACATTTTTCAAAACCTTTGGAGCACTTATGATTTTCTCGACGAGTTAAGTCCGTCCTGTCCGTACAAGGGGCAGCGAGCCGATCGAACAGGATCCGACACGATTCAGTAGAGTCTAAAAAATCTATTAGGATCTAAGGATTCATGATTGATTTGTTCTCCTTACCTCCACAAATATGCGAAAGCGAATTCTATAAAAATCACTCGAAAGTGTATTAGACATCTAATTGAAAACTAGCACCTAAAGAAAAGTCTCTTTCAAAACGAAATGATGCGGATCAAAGACGAGGTACATCTCATTTACATTTTTAGTAATCTCTAGAAACCTGATACTAATGAAATTTCGAGCTAAGAACTCGAGTATTTGGTTGGAAACGTAGAAAATACCGGTAGACTACAGTTTCACACTATTTCGTGATGAGTTCTCTTGCATAGGTGTGAGAAGAATCCCGACTAGCCATATAACGAAACCGAAACTACACTGAAAGGGTGTGAGAGTGGGGTGGATATCAGTGATGTGGGACGTTAGTGTGAGATGGTTCATGGATAAAGAGATGGTTCACATTCACGCCCACACACCAACACCCTGATTTTGGCTGGATACGGCCTATCACATTATCAATGGCTCTTACTGAAGTCTTTCACAGACCATGAAAAGTATTCTTAGGAAGACCTACTAGTAAACAATTAACTACGGATTCTTCTTCTTCTGCTCGATATAGTCTGAAGAGTTCTTTTTAATGGTGGACTGCTGGACTCAATTCATCAAAGTATTACTCGAGTTGCTTATTCTGCCAGAGATTTCAAGTAGACCTTACCGGATGATTCAGTTTCCTTTGATCAATTTCCATTGAGTTCGATGCAGTAAAAAAATATAGATCAAGTTTTTTGTTTTATTCATCAATGAAGATGAGTCACTTCGATTTTAGATGGGTATCAATATGAACTATTCAATCCCGAGATGAATACATGCTTGGGTCGATGTCGTAATCTGGGTGTTGAATCGATATATAGCTGCTGCGCTGATAATGGCAACCAGAAAACTGAAAGTTCGCATCGAAGCAAGTCTAAGCCATACACTGTCGATTCCTACACACTAGTCCGAAATCATCCTCTTTTCATTGCTTCTCAAGACGCAGCCCCCTTGGAACTTATTTCACATCCATACATGACTGAACTATGTAGGAAAAAGTTTTATCGTTTCGGATTTTGGCTGTTCCTTCTTTCATTTGGTCTTTATACAAGTTTTCTGGTAGTATACACAATGATTGTAACTGATGGCAAACATCCAGACAAATTTTATGCAGATGCTGGCTATAATGCAAGTGCTGATTGGGGTACATGTGAGTTAGTGGCGCAAACTCTTGTCAACAATGCGGATGCACAAAAACCAGACGCTTACAAAACACTTCGATGGGGTGTTTATACACTAATGTTGCTCTATATTGCCAAAAATGTTTTTCTCATTGTAACTCTATTTCCAAGATTTCTTCGAGTCATTTCTTGTTACTTTGAACTGGCGGCATTTGTACTTTCGTTTGTATATATATACGACTGGTACAGTTGGTTAGTACCTGTCATATTTCGTTGTTCAATTCAACATCAACTTGGATCATTCGGCGTACTGGTGGCATGGATGAACTTGCTCTTCTATGTTCAATACATACCCATTTTTGATATAGGGGTATACGTTGTCATGCTTCAATTAATCTTTGTCAAATTTTTACGCTTCTTGCCTGTATTAGGAATTATCGTTTGTGCTTTTGGTTTCTCATTTTGGATGTTACTTTCAACGCAAAATCCATATGCAACAACTGGTTTATCATTAGTTCGCACGAGTATAATGTTATTCGATTTGGGTTACGAAGATCGAATATTTGGAGATAATAGTGGAAATACTGCTCAATATGGTTTGATATATTTCATGTTCATACTTGCGGGCATCGTATTGCCTATTTTTATTGTTAATTTGATGATCGGTAAGTTTACATCTGAGCGTTTTCCTTGCTGAATATGCTACATTCTAACAGACGTACGATCGCTTGAGTTCATGCGTATCATATGTTGTTTTAGGTTTGGCTGTGGGAGAACTTCCATCTTTAAAAGACCAAGGAACATTGTGGTTCTATCAGCTTTGGTTCAGCTTATTATCCGACTACGAAATACTTCGTCTACAGATCATTCGCTTTCTAAGAAGGGTATGTTTTTTTGATTCTTGTCGAACAATGGATGGAGATCTGAAATGGTTTGGCTGCTTCAAGCAACGCCAACACACTACTTTAGTATACGATAACAATAATCAAAAATGGCACAACATTGCATATCATTCCAATAAATGGTGGGGCAAATTTAATCAATACTTTTTGGAAGAAGAGATTCAGGAGCCTGTAGAATCACCTGTGCCAAAGAAGAAAGACAATGACAACGATGTCAACAATGTTTGAAACCAAATTGAACATTTTCTTCAACAGTTTTTCATTTCTAACGTTCCATCTCTAACACTTGAACATTCTAAAATTCCTGTGACATGTGTGTTCATTATTCATTATTAGTGATTTTCTCATTCAATTTTCTCTACGAAAATGTAGAAAGGACAATCAGTATACAATATTTTCGTTATTAATCAATATTTCACCATGATAAGCGTATAAAAAATACTTATATTTCCTATTTAAACTACTAGCTATAAGAACGACGTTGTGTGTAAGAGTATGGATGTGGGATGGGTGTGGGGTGGGTGTGGGTGTGGGTGTGGGTGTGGGTGTGGGTACGGGTGTGGGTGTGGGGTGTCGGTGTGAGTGTGGGTGTAGGTGTGGGCTGGTGTGGGTGTGCGTATGGGTGTGGGTGGGGTGTGGGTGGGTGTGGCTGTGGCTGTGGGGTGTGGGTGGGTGTGGCTGTGGCTGTGGCTGTGGTTGTGGTTGTGGCTGTGGCTGTGGCTGTGAGGGTGTGGATAGTATTACGTTTTCATCTTCAGCCACACCCGCAGCCATACCCACACCCACACACCCACACCCACCCACACCCACACCCACACCCACACCCTAACAAAAGAGAACGAACGCCTTAAAAGTGATTGGTAGTACCACATTACTTTCTATTGGTTACATATTTTCTACAAGGTAGCGCGATGTTAGCGTCGCAAGCCCTCTACTGAAAGGATATGATCAGGTTTAACAAGGCAATACAAAAATGGGAAACTGAAAGGGGTAGAATTATTAGAGTTCGGATATAATTGTTATCAAAAACACGATAACAAACTAAACAGTATTCGTTCTAGTAGTATTCATCATTAACAAACAGCTGCAGTGAAGATAAGCATATCCCAAAAAGGGAAGTTCAAACCATCTGTCCGGGCCAATGTCGCAATGTTTTTCCAATGATATTCATCTAATGGAGGTCATTAAAATCTGCTAATACATTAGCAGAGCCACATCTATATATCTACACTCTGATATACACACGTACCAGTCTATCTGCAATTCCATTCTCATGGATATGTCGGAAACAAAAAAGTGGGGCCTCCTAAGAACTGAACTCTGTCCCTTCTCAGAGAAAATTTGTCACATCCGTATTTGGGAACAACATTTCTGCAACAGTTTTACTTAAGAAATCGACTTGAGGGTGTGTGTGGATGTGGATGTGGGTGTGAGTGTAGGTGTGGGTGTGGGTGTGGGCTGTGGGTGGGTGTGGGTGGGTGTGAGTGGCAGTGTGGATGGGTGTGGGTGTGGGTGTGGGTTTAGATAAAGAGAACACCAACACCCAAGAAAGGGCCAAAGTTTGTTCCAGACATATATTGTGCGAAAAGTTCGGTCAGCTAAAAGACAGAAGCAATTCTTCGCCAATGTGATGAATTTATGCAACTGTCATCATCGCACATGATTTAATCCCCTGCAATTTTGTCCGATTGATCCTCATCAACTAAATGGATATATCCGTTCCTTTGAAAGTTAGTGACTCTGAGTGAGTAGTGAGTGCGCGACTGCGGTTGAGTGATAGTCAGACTGTGAGCTGACGGTGGATGGGTGATAAAAGTTGGTTGTTGGATGGTTAGCTGAGTTTAATACTTATATTTATGGACCATCGCATCAACACCCACACCGACCTACCAATCAGCT